GGGGGGGGGGGGGGGGGGGGGGGGGGGGGGGGGGGGGGGGGGGGGGCAAATACTCTTGAACGTCCTTCCTCCCCACCCACCACAGACTCCTTGTCCAGCGTGTTCAGCTTCCCAAGCGGCAACATCACCAGTCACTCTAATTAACCTCTTCCTCCTGTCTCTGTAACCTCAGTCTGGGGATGCCTGTCCATGGGGTTACAGGAACTAGAATCCTATTTGCTACCCCTTCTCAGGGCCCTGAGTTCTGAACGAAACTAGAATTGGCATGTTCTGTCAAGGATGAAGTATCTCCTGAGAAAGGGGGGCTGCCCCACCAGCGCTCTGACACTGCTCTGGCCTGGGCAGACCACCTCCTCTGTCCCCACAGGAAGAGAGAGGTGACCCTCCCCCCACCCTCCACCCCACTCCCAAGTCCCCAGAAATGCACACGGCCTAAACATGGGGCTTGCAGGGAGTTCTCTTAAACCATCAAACCTAAGCCCGTTGGTTCCTCTTTCTCCCCCTGGCTTCCTCTTCCCTTTTCTTCTTCCCTCAACCTTTACAAAATCACATAATTGCAGATTCAGAAGATCAGTCTGGTACCATATGTAGCCGGCTGTAGTATACCTAACACACGGGCGTCCAGCCTCTGCAGACCCCCAGTAATGGGGAATGCTCTGGCCCTCCCCAGGCAGCCCGCCACCTTTCCATGGCTCCAATTATTGAGACATCGATCTTTTTGCCTCACTCTGACCCTTCTCCCTCCAAGTGCTGGAAATTCTGTCCTTTAGGCTAAGTGCAAGAGCAGCTCTTTAAAACCTCGCCCGCAGTCCTCAGCTCCTCTCTTTCTTTGTCTTCTCTCTTCCAGGTTAAACTCCCCAATGTCTTCAGCCAGTCCTCCCATAGGACTACTCCTATGTTTCCTCCCGTAGCAGTTTCCTCCCATTGCTGTTTACTCATTTTCAGTCATGTCCAACTCTCCGTGACCCCCTTTGGGGTTTTCTTGGCAAAGATACTGGAGTGGTTCGCCATTTCCTTCTCTAGCTCATTTGACAGATGAGGAAACTGAGGAAACAGGATTAGGTGACTTGCCCAGGATCACACAGCTAGTAAGTGTCTGAGGCCAGATGTGAACTCACAAAGATAAGCCTTCCTGACTCCAAGCCCAGCACTCTATTCTATACTCTGTCACCTAGCTTTGTCACCTAGCTGCCCACGTGTTTTACAGATGAAGAAATTGAGGTCCAGAATAGCGAAGGCTCTTCCTCTCGCCTAGAATGCACTCAATCCTCACTCTCACCTCTTAAACTTAATCCCTAGTTGTCTTCAAAGAGTCTCTCCTGAGAAATTTCCCTTGAGCAATTTCCATGTATATAGGTTGTTCTCACTTCTCTGGGTGTGTAGTGTGCTTGGGTTGGGTCATGTGATCTCCAAGACCCCTTCCATTGCTAAACCTATACTCCCATGATTCGTATTTATCTTGAAATTTACAAAAACGCTTAGTTTTTTTTTTTAAACATTAATTGTTGCCCAGCCATACTTCCCTCTACCCTGTACTTGACCCAAATATGTTAGGGGCTGTTTGTTTTTAGGACATTTCATTTCCTTAGATTTGGCCCATCATTCTTAGCGTACCCAAATCCTTTGAGATCCCGGTTGCGTAATCGAAAGACCTTCATAACCTGGTCCCTGCCCACCTTTCCAGTCTTCTCACACTTCACTCCGTTTCTTGTACTCTGAGATCCATCAACACTGGCCTCTTCCTGTTCCTCACACAGGACATTCCATCTCTAGACTCCATGTATTTTCACGGGCTGTGCCTCATGCCTGTAATGCTTTCCCTCATCATCTCTGCCTCCTGGATTCTGTGGCTTCCTTCAAGTCTCAGCTAACGTCTCCCCTTCTGCATGAAATCTTTCTATTCCTTCATAATCGAAGTGCCTTCCCTCTGAAACTCCCCTCTGTATATGCCTTGTTTGCATGTTTTCTTCCTCATTAGACTGTGGGGTCCTCAAGACCAGGGACCGTTTTTGACTTTCCTTGTATCCTTAATGCTTAGCACAGTGCCTGGAACACAGTAGGTACTTAATAAATACTCACCAATTGGTTAGTTTTTTCTCTGAGCTTCTTGTCACATATAAGCCTGATAAGGACATCATCAGTATGATAAATAATAATAACAACAACATACGTTTATATATCACTTAAAGGGTTTCAAAGTGCTTTAAGTGTACCAACCCATTAAAAAATCAACAAGATGGAGAAGGCGTGGTTAGATAACAATTTATTCCCCCCACCAAAAAAAAAAAATCTGGAGGTTTTAGTGGACCACAAGCTCAATAGGGTGATGTGGCCACCAAAAAAAGAGAATGCCATTTTGAACTGTGTTAAGAAAGGCATAGCTTCCAGGAAAAAGAAAATGATAGTGTTATCATCAGTGTGCATTTGGTTTTCAGCTCTGGCCACCTGCATTTAGGACTTTGATAAGCTGGAGAGGGTCCGGAGGAGGGTAATCCAAATGGGGATGGACTTTGAGTATGTGCCATGGGAGGACAGGCTGAAGGAAGTGGGGGTGTTTAGTCTAGAGAAGAATAAGCAAAGAAGGACTGGCTGACTTGAAATAGTTAAAGGTCCCTCACACAGAAGAGGAGTTAAGACTTTTTCTCCTGGTCTCTGAAAGGCAGAACCAGAAGCATGAGTGGAATTTACAAAGAGGCGAAGGCAAGCTCGATATCGAGAAAAACTTCCTAATAACTGTTGCTGTTGAGTCATTTCAGCCCAGTCTGACTCTTCATGACCTCATACTTCAGTATCTTTGCCCAAAAAACCCCAAACGGAGTCACGAAGAGTCAGACACAACTGAAACTGAAAAATACTGGAGTGGTTTGCCATTGCCTTCTCCAGCTCATTTGACAGATGAGGAAACTGAGGCAGACAGGGTGAAGTGACTTGCCCAGGGTCACCCTGCTAGTAAGTGTCTCAGGCAGGATCTGAACCCAGGCCTTCCTGACTCCAAGACCGGCACTTGATCCATGTATATATCACACTACCTCTGTCAAGGCATGCTAGATAGAACGGGGGCCTCAAATCT